GTGAGGAGTGTGGATAATCGGGGATGGTGAGGAGTGTGGATAATCGGGGATGGTGAGGAGCGTGGATAATCGGGGATGGTGAGGAGTGTGGATAATCGGGGATGGTGAGGAGTGTGGATAATCGGGGATAGTGAGGAGCCTGTGTGGATAATCGGGAATGGTGAGGAACCTGTGGATAATCGGGGATGGTGAGGAGTGTGGATAATCGGGGATGGTGAGGAACCATCATAGCTGACCCCCAAGGGGGTTTTCAGAAGCTGTACGTCCTATGGGAGGAGATTGCCTTTTTTTTCCTGCGAAGGAGCTGGTGGATTCAAACTCTCTACCTTTGCCTTACCAGCGCAATTCCTTACTATCAAGCCACCTGAGACTAAAGATAGGGCTACATTAATTGGCAAATAAAACACAGAATTCGCTGAAAAACCTTCAAGAATGTTGATCTTGAAGTAAAAATTAGGCAGTGATAGTTCCCTAGCACATTGTTAAGTGCCGTTGCGTCATAAGTGACTCATAGCAACCGTATGAAGGAAAGACCTGAACGCTTATATAATTTTTATCGTTTCTCCAAGTTCATAGGGTTTCCAGAGGCAAGCTGTTTCGGAAGTGGATGCCACTCCTGCTTCCAAGCTTGTTTAAGTGGCATTAAATAATCGGACAGAGATGCATACTGATCAGCTCATTAGAGGGTGGTCGCTGTATTTCTAACAGGAACAGACATTCTGATAACCTGTTCCTGAATCATACCTGTTTCTGGAAAGATTTCATTAATGCTGTGTAGGAGAACCTAGGCTCAAGCTATCTAATCTTGCATCTGTTAGACTATAATGAAAAAAGGCTTTTATCTCTTTTGGAAATAAAGATATGCTGTAGCCAGACATCAGGAAAAAAGAATGTTATCCTTGGGGCATATAACCCAGTCCAGCTCGCACTGAAAGAATTGCCATTTGGAAGGCAGCTTTTTAAAATCCAAAATGTGTAGCAGACTCATGTCAAGACTTTAAAATGGAGTTAAGGGAGGTTGCGAGGCTGTAAATCGTTACAGGAGGGGACTGTCCATCTTCGTCCGGAGGAGCAGCGGGTGGATTTGGACTGAGCAGAGGCAACCTTTTGATTAGCTACACAACTTACGACAGACTACCCTTGAGATCCTTTTCACATAGTCAACTCGACTCATTGCCATCATGCAGAACCAACATATACCTGACCGTCCCGTGACTTTCTTTTTTTTTTTTTTTTTTTTTTCGTCCCGTGACTTTCGAGAGGCAGTAAATTGCACAGGAGGAGACTACCCATCCTTCTCATGCGGAGCAACCGGGGGGATTCGAACCATGCTTCTTTGGGTTGACAGTGCAACTCCTTACCCACTAGGCCCAGAGCTCCCTCTCATACAATAGTGTGTGTAGAAATAAATACCATTTGCCTGAAGACTTAGCTGTTTTAAATAGCATGGTTCCAAATACCTCACTTTAGCACTCAAGGTTTAAATTTGTTTTTCTTTTAGGTGGAAGGTTCATTGCCCCAGAGAACCAGTTTCTAGATTAAACCCTTTAAGGGACTATTTAAACAGTCGAAGCTCCATGGCACATTTAATTCCTCGGGAATTATTTATAACCCTTTCCCCACATTATCACCAGAAATAAACCATGCTTTTTGTTCTATTGCAACATCTCATTCTACTTTCTGATTGAAAGTTTTCTACACTCAATAAGACTGGGGGGGGGCATGAAATAAATACACTATAGTCTCATCTGTGGTTATTTATTTTTAGTGCCACCCTCTCCCCATGGGCTCAGCTGGAAAGAGCCCTGGTGATACAGTTGTTAAAATGCTTGGTTGACCTTTGAACCCACTGAAGGGGGAGGGGAGGAAGCACTTGCCTGTGAGCCTGTGAAGAGCCCCCCTGTTAGGTTTCCTCCTGGAGAAGTCTGAGCAGGTCTCCCCTGTGCTGCCGGGCACCAGGAGTCACATTCAGCTCAGTGCCAGTGTGTTACTCCTGACTCAATGTTCAAATGTGTTTCTTTTTTAAAAAAAAGATGTGGTTTATGCTATCTTTTTAATTGACCCAGAGAAGAAAATTGCAAATATAGGAAGGCAGCAGGTAAAATAGAATGTGTCCAAGGTGAATGGTCCACTTGGAAGGGTCTTCTTTAAATAAGAGTATTTACAACTTAGTGTGAGTGAGTTGTAATTACTTTCTTGCTAGCAGGTTTTGGGATCAGGAGGACGAACTTCTGAGACTGGGCAGACCAGAGAAAGGGAAAGGAGGGGAAATTTGGCTCACGGAGTAAGAACCTAGGAGCCAGGACTCATTCCACTGGCAGTCTGGCATCTCACAGTGACCCCGCCTCTACCCCAGGTGTGTGGGTGGAGAACAGTACTCTGTATGATTTCCAGCGTCTGGTGGTGTGGAAATCAGTCCCCAGGTTTTCCTCTCAAGGTATCTGTGGGTGAACTTGAACTTCCAGCCTTTTAATAAGCAGCTAAGTGTAGTGGTAGAGTCTATCACCCACAGACTCCCTTCCTAACCTAAATCCATATTTAGGAAAATGTGAAAAGCTGTATTTTCCAATATATTGCTTCTGGGGAAGATTGTGTTAGCAGGCAACAAAACTCCTAAGTTGTTCCTAAAACATTAGAAACTACCTTACTTCTCCTCTTTTTCATTTGGTGAACAGTTGTGTATATTTGAGAATTATATCATACTCATTTATTAAAGTTCCATTTCTTTGCATCAAATCACTCCACTTTCTCATTATGAAATTCAATACTCTGCACCAAATTCCACATGTTCCACCAGCTGTGAATACATTGGCCTTAACATAACTTATTTTCCTTGAGTAAAAAATTTTCTCTGACAAAACGATAACTCTTTGAAACTGTTATTCCAACTACAATTTGCTCTTTATAATATTATTTGAACGTAAGCTTACATCTTCTTTACTCAGTTGGTCAAATTACAAAATGTCAAAAATATATACCTTCGGTGTGCTGTTAACGTATTTCCATTTTTGTGCAAATGCATTGCGTTGCTGTTTACCAAGCACAGACTTCTTTTAAAAAACAAACTTGTCTGCCTTTGAAGGTAGTACCTTCAACATACCATGACATGCAGAAATGAAGGCTTTCTGCTGGTTCTTGGCTGTACCACATCCTCTCTAAACTCTGTGTATTCACTCATTAATGCAAATTTTCCAGCCAGGCATACAGAGTGTTTAATTAGTGTGGCTTACTACTCTAGTGAGGAGGTCTTGACAAATGATGGGAATCATTTCTTTATCCTCTTGGGGTGTATTTTCCTATAAAACACAATTCATGAAATGTTCAAACGTCACCAGCTGCTATGTACTGATCTAGGTCAAATATGTGTCAGGTAACGTGCTGTGCTTTCGCTCAACTGCTAATCTCAGTGTCGCGGTGCATGGCCATGTTTCCATTTGCCAAATAACAATGAGAGTCATTTTTGTAACCTGTGCAACTTCGTGCATTAAAACCTGTTGATCACCAAACCACACCACCTGGCTAGTCATAGATGAGTCCAGTGCCTTAGAACCCTGAAAGACGAAAGCAGCCCACACTTAGGCTACTCTTTCTTGTAATTAGTTCCAATATTTTCCTACATCTTTTAAGTAGCTAATACATAGTTTACTGGAATTAAGTTGTGGCAAACGTCACTTCTCTATCAGTTTCTTTCGTGCAGTAAGAAATAGAAGTTTTATCAGTTCTGAGGACAGTTACACTTAAAACTATATTAAAATTTTCCAGGAAGTTTAAAAATTAGTCCCTCAATAACAGGGAAAAAAATCTCTTAAAGTACACATTTACTGGTGGATGTATTAAATTTTGAGCTGTGGCGTTGGCTCAAGATAGAGCAGAGTTCAGGACTGTTGTGCATAGTGTTGCTATGAATCACAAGCAAATTGATGGCATGTAACAACAGAAGATTCATGGCAGAGATGGCTTAAAGTTAAAGTTGTCTTTATGCATGATATATTTACCCTTTGAACGTGAAAATGACATAGTGCCTGTTAGAAGTATCTGGTTATCACACTAATAAAGTTGTTGCTGTGTGTTTGAAGAACCAGCTCCTGGCCGATCATGGGCATAATCCTCTCATGAAGAAAGTATTTGACGTGTACCTGTGTTTTCTTCAAAAACATCAATCTGAAACAGCTCTGAAGAACGTCTTCACTGCCTTAAGGTCATTAATTTATAAGGTACGTACTTTCTTCGAGAGTCGCCATACCCGAGCACGGCGTACGTTTTCAGTCTCTGTCCCCCGTGGGTAGAGGGGATGTCGAGCACTCACCCTTCCTTGGTTTGTCTGCCCTCTCTCCTGCCGTCCAGTTTCCGTCCACATTTTATGAAGGGAGAGCAGACATGTGCGCAGCCCTCTGCTATGAGGTCCTCAAGTGCTGCAACTCCAAGCTGAGCTCCATCAGAACCGAGGCCTCGCAGCTGCTCTACTTCCTCATGAGGAACAACTTCGACTACACCGGGAAGAAGTCCTTTGTGCGGACGCACTTACAGGTGAGTGGTGGAGGTGGAGATTGATCTGCTCGAGGCCCACCCAGTCAGCCTTCCTTGTTGGGCACTGATAATGAAGGGTAATACCTCCATGACGTCATAGCCTTCCAATCAGAGGCTGTACTCACACTGCTAACACATGGAAAGCAGCTGGAAGCAGGCTTTAGAATAAACTCCCCCTCTACCTCCGCAGTATAATATAGAGAGAGCTCCCTTGCCCTAGTGGACAGAAAGTTATGCTACCAAGCCCAGCGTGGGTGATTTTAATCTGCAGCACACAGGGCTGGTTCACATTGGGTTTTTTTTTTCAAACATTCTTCTAAGTGGTGCAGCACTGGTCTGTGCATTGCTGTACAGACGTAACTCCTGGTTGATGTGATGCTAAACACTGTGACACTGATGTGTCAAATGCGAGAATGGTCACCCATGGTGGACAGTGTTTGGTGGAGCTCCCCAATTAAAACAAGCTTGGAAGCAGGAGTGGCATTCATTTCCGAAATGGTTTGTCTCCGGAGATTTTATGAGCAGTGCTCAGGTCTTTCATTCATAGGGTTGCTGCGAGTCATCTACAACTCAACAGCACCAAACAACAACAACACCATTTCCTGAGTTAAGACAGGTGGGCATATCTGTCTTGGAGAGGGTGCAGCTGGAGTGCTGTTTGGAGGCAAGAACGATGAGGCTTTGCCTCACATACTTCAGGCGTGTTGCTAGGAGGGGCTATTCCTTGGAGAGGGGCATGATGCTGGGAAGGGTGGAAGGTCAGCAAAGGAGAGGAAGACCCTCGACCAGGTGGATTGACACAGTGACTGCCACAGTGAGCTCAGTTGTGTCAGGAGGTGTGAAGATGGTGCAGAATAGAGCAGAGTTCAGATCTTTTGTCCATAGCGTTGTTGTAGGTCGTACTTGACTTAGCAACATCTAACAACAACATACTGATACTGCATCCAGGTAGCACGTGAGCCTTGGATATAAAAATGATTGGAGGAGGAACTGCCTGGCTCTTTCGGCTACGGTGCTGCTGGAAATGTGGCGCTCTGTCAAGCCACTTAGCTCATCCAAATTTGTCTCTGAGTATTCCCTCTTCTGATGCTTCTTGGAGCATTTAAGATTTTGTTCATAGCATCTTTCAGAATTGCAACCAGAGTCTTGAATTTGCTTTTCAGTTCTTTCAGGTTGAGAAATGTCAAGCAAGTTCTTCCCTTTTTATTCTCCAACTTTAGTTCTTTACACGTTTGAACAGATACTTCTTGGACAAGATGCAGCCAGTGTGCTCCTTCGAGGCACAGATGGTGAAACTTCTTCTCACTTACTTTGGGCATGTTAGGGGCTACTCGTTGGAAAGGGTTATCAGCGAAAGAGAAGAAGACCCTGAATGAGATGGAGTGACCACAGCAATGGGGCAAGTGGGTCACAGAGGATGAGAATGGCAGAGAACAGGACAGACAGGGTTCAGCTCTGTTATTCATAGGGTGGCTGTGAGTCCTCCCTTACTCAGTGACATGTAACAACAACAGCCAGTCCCTAGGAGCTCAGCTCAGCAGCATGGTGCCTTATGTGTTGTACTATTAACCAAAAAGCCAGCAGTTTGAATCTCCTTCAGGGAAGAAATGAACATTCTCCTCCCATAAAGATTGTCAGCCTTGGCAACCCTTCAGGGGCTCACTGTAAGTCACAGTTGACTTGATCACCTTGGATTTAGGTTTAACTAGGGAGCTCTGGCGGGGTAGCCCACGGGCAGTCACACAGCTAACCCAAAGGCAGCGTCCCTGGTGGTTGGAAGCCCCCAGTGGTGCCTACAGAGAAAGATGGACAGTGTGCAGTTTCTAATCTCAGAAATCCAATGGAGCGTCAGCTGCAAGTTGGTTCTGACTCAGAGACAGTTGAGGCTTGGCCAGGGAGTTTGGCTGAAGAGAGGGCTGTTTTCCCTTCACACCTTGTTTCTAACTTGTCTCCATGTCCTGCCAATTCCTGCTTAAGAACAAATTTGAGGATGAGTTGAGGAGAGCAGCAAATCACATGGAAGGAGCTTGCCAAGCTTCTCGCTTGGGGCAGCCAGCGGCTTCTAACTGCCTGCCTTGGGGTTGACAGTGCAGTCCTTTAACCCCTGAGCCACCAGCCTCTCCCTGGGCCTGGAGCTGCCCCAGCTGAAAACATGCCCAGGAAGTCCTTTTGCGTGTTCATTGATCCACCCCTGTTTGTGTCCCCCAGGTCATTATCTCTGTCAGTCAGCTGATCGCAGACGTTGTTGGAATTGGGGGGACCAGGTTCCAGCAGTCTCTGTCCATCATCAACAACTGTGCCAACAGTGACAGGCTCATCAAGGTAGGTGGTGTGGTCCCATGGAGTTTCTCCTCCCAGCACCCGGATGCACAAAGCAGTTGGCAGACACGTGTCCTCCCTCCACCCTTGCAGCATACCAGCTTCTCCTCAGACGTGAAGGATTTGACCAAAAGGATACGCACAGTCCTGATGGCCACTGCCCAGATGAAGGAGCACGAGAACGACCCGGAGATGCTGGTGGACCTCCAGTACAGCCTGGCCAAGTCCTACGCCAGCACCCCCGAGCTCAGGAAGACGTGGCTCGACAGCATGGCCAGGATCCACGTCAAAAACGGAGACCTCTCAGAGGTAGCCCTGCCCGCCTGTGGGTGCACACACAGACACACATAGCTGGGTGGCGCAGGAGACGAGTGTGTGGTTTCTAGGGACGGACTCTGAACCCTGGGTTTAACACATATTAGCTATTTGACATTAAGCAAGTTACTTAACCTCTCTACCTCAGTGTCGTCATTTGTAGAATGGGAAATGCAGGAAAACAATGAGCTGTAAAGTAGATTCTGGTTTTTTCAGGGCTTTTCTCAGGCTTACATCATAGGGAGTGTAAAATACTACTACTACTAAAACAAGTGTACTCCTAAACTGCTATCATTAGGGAAATTGTGTTTTAAATCGTAAAAAAAAATGATTTTTTTTTTACTCAAAGGGTTCAATGTATTAATTCATTGTGACCTTAAATTTAACATGAACCTGTACATCAGCCATAGATAAAATGAATAATATACTAGACAGCTAGGAGAGCAAGTTCATCCTAGAGAGGGTTAAACCAAGCTGCTCCTTGGAGGCAAGGATTCTGAGGCTCCGTCTAACATACTTTGGACATGTAAGAAGGGACCTGTCCTTGGAAAGGGACATCATGCTTGGGAGGGTGGAGGAACAGTGCAGGAGAGAAAGACCCTCGATGAGATGGATTGATTTAGTGAGTGGGATAACACGGGTAGGAGTGTCAGAGACAATAAAATTGGCACAGGACAGAGCAGGGTTTAGGCTGTTGTACATAGGGTCACTAGAAGTTGCAGGTGACTCAACTGCACATAACAACAACTAGAAGTAGTAATTTTTTTTTTCTATTGGAATTTTTCCCCCCTTTTACTGTGATTTGAGTGAAAGATGACAAAAACAAATTTCTTTTTTATGGAACCATTCAGACTCATTTTGTCAATATTTTTCTTAATCTTTTTATGCCTCCAAATCTCAAACTCACTGCCACTGATTCCGACCCAGAGCGCCCTTTGAAGGCAGCATAGAACTGTCTGTTGGGGTTTCAAAGGCTAAAATCTTTACAGAAGCAGATTGCAATAGCTTTTTTCCTCAGGGTATCTGGTGGGTTGGACCTGCTGACCTTCCAATTAGCACCCAAGCACTTAACCCCTGTACTACCTGCATTCCTCTTTGCATAGCCCAAGACTCAAAATAAATGCAAAAATTAACCCAAACCCCAGGGTTTCACTCTAAAAATAAAGGATAAGAGAAGATAATTTTAGCTTCAGCAATCTGTCCACAGTTTGTGTACCTAATCAGTAGCTCACAAATTTGAGTGCCTGCTTTGCACCTAACTTGATGTGCACTGGGGAGGGAGGAAAAAAAGTAAGCTGGGCAGTCCGCCTCTACGGGTTGGACAGATGTTTCTCCGGACACGTTAGTCACAAATCTTGGTGCTGGACTTTTTTTTTTTTTTTTTAGAACAGGAACAATATATTTCTGTTTGTCTTTTTTTTTCCTCCTAGTTTATTTACAAAACTCAAATACAAATTCTAACAACTTTCAATTTCCCTCAGCCCTACGCACCCATCAAATTGTACAAGCCAATGATTAACCCCCTCCCCCTGCACATCCACATCCCTCTGCTGTATTTCTTATATATTTACTTACACACAGGTATGTAGAGCAGTCACGGCCCATGTGAGTGTTGGCTCCTTCAGGGGGAGACTCCAGATTAGACTCTGACTGGGTGGCAGACCCAGTGACAAGAACCTCAGACTCGTGCATTAGAACCTTACAGCAGGGGTTGCTACAAAAGCTGTTTTAATTTTTGTAACGTTATGGCACTTGGTAAAAAAAAAATCTTTTTAACATGTTGTTATTTTAAGAAATGTGTCGTTTTAGGGGAGCTCTGGTGGCCTAGTGGCAAGAAGCTGCACTGCAATCCCAGAGGAACACGGTTCGAATCCACCAGATGCTCTGCCGGAGAAGGAGGCGCAATATCCTCCTGTACCAGTCAGATCTGATTTGACGGTACACGCACACAAAATAATAATTAAAAAAAAAAAAAGAAATGTGTCGTTTTAAGGTATTTGAGACAAAACTCGGATTTAAGATTAAATTAGATTTCAACTCTGAGACCAGAATAACCAGATGGTGCCCAGCCACCACTGCTGACTGACCTTTATTAAAAAGGGTCACAGTACATGGGCCTGCACAGAGTAGGGGATAAAAGTGTAACAAAACTCAAAATTATAAACACAACCAGGCTAATTAGAAACACAGCCAAGCTAACCTGCCTGATAGAGGCTGGAAGAACCACTGAGGCCTTAGCCACTCTTTGAGACTGAAATTGAACAACTTTTAACTATATAATACAGAGTTCTATAATGTGAGCATTGAGCTGCTCCTTGGAGGCTAGGATTTTAAGACTCTGTCTCATGTACTTTGGGCCTGTAGCCAGGAGGGACCAGTCTTTGGAGAAGGACATCATGCTTGGAAGGGTCAAGGGACAGCACAGGAGAGGAAAACCCCGGATGAGATGGGTTGATGTTTTAAAGACACAGTAACTGGAATAATGGGTTAGATGAGTCAGAGGCAGTGAGATTGGCTCAGAATTGAGCCAGATTCAGAACTGTTGTGCATAAGGTCGCTGTGCGTCGCAGTCAACTCACCAGCACGTAACAACAACATAAGATGGTCATGACACCAAGGAGAACCTCAGTTCATGAGATAATTCAAGATTAAAATAAATAAATACAGATTTAATTAGATTTTACCATTTGGAATTCTTAAATTTAGGGGGGAAAGTTACAACTTGATCTTATTTTTCTTTAAATTGAGTTAACGCACATATAATACCTAACAATTTGAATCTCTCAAAATCTAGAAATAAGCATACCATTTTTAGGTGGTTCTCTTTTTAAAGAAAAAATATATTGGAAGCCTTAGATGTTTTAATAAAAAGGAACATTTTTGTCTTTCATGTTAAAATTTAGTAGAATTTCAGAAGAATTAAAATATAAATGAGTCTTAGATATTTTACTGCCTAATATTCGTCTCAATTCCACATTTATGGTAAAATTCCAGTTTGTAGGAATCATTTCACCTTTACATAGGACCACTCAATGTCAAGGACAAGTCACTACAGTAGTGCCTTTTTTCTGTTATTTCTGATTTCAGCTATTATTTCCAACCAACTAGTGGTAAAATGTTAGCCTCCATAGACATAAAGCAATTTTACTTTATGACTTGCCCTTCCAAAGCTCAGAAAATACTATGTATTCTTTTTTTTTTTTTATACACTGATGCCCTGAAAATTAAGCAAAGCAAGTCATTGCTGTCAAGTTGGAACCAGCTCCTGGCTCCCAAACTCCATTGGCCTTCTGAGGCCGGAAATCGCCTGGGAGGAAATTACCTTTTTGCTGTTAGTAGATTTGAACTCTGCCAGAGTGGGTTGGTGTCTGGATAAGCAGAGGAGCTCGCTATGCACTGCGCCACAGAGCTCCCTGGAGAAGTACATGTATTCCTTAGATGTTTGGCTTTGATGGGCATTCCCTATGCTGTTTGTTACTAATGACTCAAAGGCATTCATCCTTTATTCTAGGCAGCGATGTGCTATGTCCATGTGACAGCGCTGGTGGCAGAATATCTCACGAGAAAAGGTAAGAACTGCTTCCTATGTTTTGTGGCGTGAATATGAAACTGTATGAAGTGGCAAAGACCAGGCAGGGCGAGCCTGTCAGAAAGCCACGCGGGGGGATTTGGAATTGGAGGATATATTCGTCTGTGAAGGGACTGTTGTCCTTGTTTTATTCCCTGACATGACGGTGCTTAACATCAATGTTACTTGTTATATGCTGTCAAGTCAGAAAAAAATAGCTGACCCTCAAGTGAGTTTTCAGGGGCAGTAAATCACACAAGAGGAGATTGCTCATCTTTCTCCCAAGGAGTACCTGGTGGATTTGAACCACATGCCTTTGGGTTGGCAGCACAATTCCTTACTGCTGAGCCACCAGAGCTCTCTGCCAGTATTGAAAAGAAAAGTAAGAGATGTGGTGACACTTCCCATACCCTCTTACTGATGACTCCATTCTGCAGAAACTACTTAATGAGCTTTGCATCCAGGTGGCCGTGATGGACCAGTCTGGGGCTGAAAAGACCTGGTTTTTACCTAAGATAATTCCCCATGGAGCTGCTTGTAAATCAAGACAGTCACAGTGAGAGATTATCAGTCAGTCTTTCTGGAGCGCAGCCCGATTGTCGTTGTTGTGTGAGAAGGTGGCCTGGCAGGTGGATGGGGAGGCAGGGGTGGCTGCTATTCCACGGGCTATTTGCACATTCCACATTTGTTCTCAGATCACGGGACTCTTGATTCAATGTCAGGTGCTCATGTCCATGGCAGAGCTGGTAGCCTGAGATATGTGCTGGAGGACAGCACGAGATTGGCTCTGATGAAGATAGTTAAAAAGTAATACATGCTGGGAAGTCATCAAGGCCCCGAGCAAGAAATGTGTATTTCTGCTGAGGCTGGTTATTTGGAATAGAAGGTTAAGGGGGTCTAGGTTCTCATGTCGGAGCCCAAAAGAGAAAGAAAATAAAGAGGGCTCTGTGCTCAATTAATATCATGCTGTTTCCTGTCGAGACCACTCGTCAGGTAATACATTTCCTCATGTTTAGAAGCAGACATAGCCCTCCGCCGGGAGCCACCCCACTTCACCTGCCAGAGGAGGACCCGGGGAGGTGAGCCTGAGGGTCAGCCCGTCCCCAGGGCCACACTGCTATCTTCACATGTCGCTCTGTGCTGCGGGGGTCCTCTGTCTCAACCTTGCATGGACAGACTTCACTTTCCTGCCCCTCCTCCCACTCCCTAGGCTCTGCAGGTCGTTGTCAGTCAGTCCCTGTGAGAGGCAGTGAAAGGAAGGTCTCTCTTACCTGGTAATCTAAACCCTGGGTGGCTGGCTTTTTTTATCTTTTTTCTTTTCCGTATATCATCAAATTTTGAAATTAATACTTCTCCTCAAGAAATTGTCTGTTTCCTTATAACAGAAGGAGGGCTCTTCTGGCTCAAACCAGTTCAAACTAGAAACAGACCCAAAAATTTGACATTTGGTGATGCAGAAGGATAAGGGGAAAGGGAATTAAAAGCGCAGGTCAAAACGCCCGAATGAGACTCAGAAGAGGCAAAGGGGAGCCCTTTCGGGGCTGTGATTTAGGAAGATTAGATTCTCACCAGTACCGTGAAAAGTGTCACAGTTTCAAAGCAGTACAGTCAGCCACCATTTTTAAGCCAGGCTCTCTTGTTTTCTGAAGAAGAAATTTAAGTTTCTAGCATGGCTTCCACCTGTAATTTCCCCCTTTCCAGTTAACATTCTGGTTCGCTCACCTCTTGAAATCATGAGTCTATTCTGATGCTGCATCATCAGTCATGACTGAACCTGGCTGGGTAGTTTAGACACCTTACAGCCAGGGCGGTAGCAGAGAGACAGATGTTAGGTAATTCATGAATCCGTGACCAACCTGGACTTAAATAGCACAGGAATAAAACCATCTATGTTTTCAAAACTTGATTTAAAGATATTCTTCTATTGTTCCTCTTTCTCAAAATACACGCGATCTCAGTTCAAGTTTTGCTTGTGTTGTTTTATTCTCATAGGTCAGGGTTCAGAACTGTTGTTCGTTGGGCAGCTGTGGCTCATAGTGGACTTGACGGCACCTTAGAACCACCACCGCATAAAAAGAAACTGGCCATTTTACTCCTTTTTTGCAGAGTTCACGTTGTCCATCTGAGTCAGAACTCCTCTTGTTGTTGTTATGTGCTGTTGGGTCGGAACCAACTCATAGCTGACCCTCCAATGAGATTACAGAGGCTGCAAGCCACATGGGAGGAGATTGCCCCTCCTCTCCACAAAACAGCTGGTGGATTAGAACTGCCTACCTTCGGGTTGGCAGCACAGTTCTTTACCTGTAAGCCACCAGAGTAACTGTAAAATGAGTAAATGCCCCCAAATGGCCCCATCACTGTTTAAAGACTCTGACCTCAGACGTTTGTGCCAACTCCAGCCTCTCACACCACCCCCTGGCCCCCAGCTCCTCCCTTAGAAAATCAGACAGAGTAGCCCACGGGAGTATTCCTGCTCCTGGCCTCTGTCAGTTGCCATGAACTCTGCTCCACGCACATTTCCGTGGCTGATTTCTGTTGTAAGTAGATGCAGGCCTGTCTTCTGAGGAGCCTCTGCGTGGGCTGGAAATGCCCACCTTCTGATTGGCTGCTGAGTGCATTATCTATATGCACCAACCAACGGTTGCCCTTTCTCTCGGGGCTGACCAGGGATCCGCCTGCAGCAGCTTCTTGGTCTGTGGCTGAGTCTTTGAGCCCTGTCTCTGTTGGACTGACAACCCCTTGAGGAGGAGAGGAATTTTCTAACCTGAATTGTGGGGGTGCCTCCCAGCTGGAGCGGGGCTGATGAGCTTGAAGGAAGCGGTTGCGTAGGACCATGCATTTCTCTTTGCTTGACTTTGGCTTCTGATTTTTCTTGTTATCTGAGCATTGTTCCTCTCATCACATCAGATTCTACTTCCTCATCATGTCATTACTAACGTGGTGTCATCATACTCATTTCTCAGTTTATGTAGAGTCTGAAAGGTTTGTGTTACAGGTGGATATAAAGAAGAGACAGGCTGAGGAAGAGGAGGGTCCAATATGAAGGGGGGAGGGATGAAGAAAAGCACAGAGAGGCCCGGCCACCCATTTTGGATGCTAGCCTGAGACATAGCCTCTCACAGCTGATTACTTTATTAAACACAGAAGCGTCTAGGGCAGGAAGCACCCAGATGGTTCACCCACTTTCTGATGAATCGCACCGGCTCTCTCCTGCTCTCTCCATCTCCCAAATCCTAGGCATGTTTAGACAAGGATGTACCGCCTTCAGGGTGATCACCCCAAACATAGATGAGGAGGCGTCCATGATGGAAGATGTCGGGATGCAGGATGTCCACTTCAACGAGGTGAGTGCTCCGGCGTGCGTGGTCCCAGTCCACACTCAGATGTCAGAGCCTCAGCTTGCCCTCCGCCCATCAGACCAGAGCTTTGCTCCCTGCCGCTGCCATCTGCGCACTCCACCTTTACTCGGCGTCAACTCCATAGACATTATCATTTATGTTTGTGAAGTTGATGCATCTGTTAGCGTTAACGCATGGCACTTAGTCTTCTGAAAGCGAGGAGTAAAATGAAACAGCAACCATGTTCCCCTCAAGTTGATTGCACCTCATATCTTCACTGAAGAGCTCTTCCCTGAAGTAGCATAGGGTCGAGCTGTGCTTTGTAGGATTTTGCTGGCTGATGCTTCACAGAGCAGGTCCCCAGCCCTTGCTTCCATGACACTACTGGCTGGGTTAGGACTGTCCACCTTCACTTGGTAGTTGCATACAAAATGTTTGGACCACCCATTCTTCAAATAACAGAAAGAACAAAACCCAATGCTCTTCTCCCTCCCAAGGAATTCCTCCTCTTCTCAGAGAATGTTAAAGGGGTCAGTGAGTGGTGAAGTAAGGCTGGGTACTGCAGTATTTCTAATAAAAGGTACAATAGTGACTAAAAACTATCTTGTTCTTTCTGGCAATTTCTCTAGTCATGTTTGAATCTGATTATAAGCTAGTGTCTCCAGCTCCTAGACATCTCCCAAGACCACCGAAGCCTGGCTGGAGTCACCAGAACCCTTTGTGTAGGGCTTTGTGTTGGCAAGGGCTTCCCTGTGTCAACTAGGAGTCTCTGGGTGACACAAGGAGATAACTACAAAAGGCCAGCAGTTTGAATCCAGGCACATGATTGGATGTGTCTGAGAAGATGTGCCCTGCTGTCTCGGAAATCTGTTTCTACAAGGTTGTAGCCCTGAAAACCCTGCTCTGCACACATGAGGTTGGTAAGACGAGTTGAGATTGCCTAGCAATGACTGTTGTTGACCATTGAGTCAGAACCTACTCAGAGCTGATCCTCCAGCAAGTTTTAGAGCCACTAAATCACACAGAAGGAAATCACCCATCTTTCTCCCATGGAACAGCTGGTGGGTTCGAACCATGTGCCTTTGGGTTAGCAGAGCAGCTCCTTACTCCTATGCTACTATAGTTTGTTTTTAGCTGAGTATCTGTGAGGATGGAGTTTCTGTTTATGCATCAACTAAAATAATACAGGGCACTCTGGTGGCGAAGTCCCTAGGGGCTTGCTCTGCTAACCCAAGGCCATGCCTCTCTAGTGATTCGAATTCCCCAGCCGCTCTTCAGGAAGTATGGAGACCTCTTCCCATCCATTTACAGCCTTGGAAGGTCTGCTGTGCGTCAGTTCCAATGAGATGTCAGTGAGTTTGAGGAAAACAGCAATATCAGATTGAATGCAGAAACAAGACTATCTATGTTCTATTTAGCCGTGTATAATGCAGTGCCATTCTTTGATTTTTTTTTTATTTTTAAAAATGATAGGATGTTTTTATTAAAATGTTACTTTTTAATAGGTGTTAGGTTTTTGTTACTTTTCATTAATATTTTTCATATCAATTTTTAATATGGTATATATTGAAAATTCTAACCTGTATCAACAGAAGTTCTTTGGAATTTTCAGTAATTCTGAAGACTATAATGGAACCCTAAAACCAGAAAGTTTGACACTTGTGATAATGACTATCAGATGACTTTCTAATGACTATTAAAATGACTATCTAAATTAAAAGATAAACATGAGAAAGAAGGAATCCAATAATCTAGTGAATGTCTCCCAAGTACCAGGCAGGCCCAAGATACTTCATGTTTGAAGGTTGAAATAAATTTAACTATAGAGTGTTGAATATACCATGGACTGCTAGGAGAACAAACAGGTTTGTCCTGGAGAGGGTGAAGCCAGAATGTTCCCTGGAGTCAAGGATTCTGAACTGACATACTTTGGGCATGTCGCAAGGAGGGACTGGTCCTTGGAGAGGGACATCATGTTTGGGAGAGTGGAGGGACGGCGCAGGAGAGGAAGAACTTTGATGAGATGGATCGATTCTGTGAGTGGAGCGGTGGGAATGAGTGTGTTTGAGACAGCGAGGTTGGCACAGGATAGAACAGCGTTTAGGGCTCTTGAACATAGGGTCGTTATGAGTCGCAAATGACTCGATGGCACATAACAACAACAATAATAGATAAAATGTCCTAAATGTTTTAGGTGTTGGGTACAGGGTAGCATGGTGACCATAATATGGCATTAACAGTTCAACCATAGCTCCACCTTGAAATGCCTTGACAGAGAGTAGTTTTGTGGTTTTGGACAGAGCTTCAAACTCGTTCAAAATAGCTCAGTGATTGCTTTCATAAACGAGGACCATGGATGCGTTACATCTCAGCCAACTCTTTCACCTGTGGTACTTTGACCATATAGGACACAAAGACGATGGCTGACCAAACTTCTTGGAATACGTGTTGCTGTCTGTGTTCCTGCCAATAATCCAACCTCCTGTATCAGCCTTCCGAAACTTGGAGGAGGAAGGACTGTGGCAGGACATTTGGACACATTTAAAGCAGCGTTGTCCCTGCCATCTCTGAGCAAGACACATCTGTTTGTTTCCTACTGGGAACAAAATACCAGAGTTGCTACGTTACACAGAATCTACATGAACTTTGTGTATGAGGGCCATTACTGAACCATTTGAAACTGGTTCAAAGTCCCTGTTAGTTACTCTCTAAAGTGTGGAAGCTGTTGCTGTAGGAACAAAGTTTTGAGCTCCTCCCTTCTTCCAAGATGAATTTTGACAGGGTTTCTCCCTGAAAGCCCAGATATACAGTCCCTTTCTGGAAATCACTTGTGTGCCAAGTCCAATTTCCAGAGTGTATCAGTTTATTTGGAAGTTGATAAGAGAAAGAATAACAAGAATGCATGCAAAAGCAAATGAGTTATAAACGTCCAGATTACAAACAACACATGCTTGCCCACATGTGAAATGATTGACTCAGCCCCTGTTCTCAACTGATTCATCTCAGTCACCTTCATGTGCTTCGCACGCAGCGTTTAAATCAATAAAAAGACTCGCTAAGCCTTTCCTTGCACTAAAGGAAAGCTACATAACAACTGTATGCATCTATCCCAATTTACCTACAAACTAAAGACACATACAGGAATGGCTCTCATTCGTAATCCAGTGATTGCCTGTAAACTGTTTTCCGTAATCTACCTGCAGGACTGATAAACGGAAGCTTGCGTTGGCTCCTCTGATTCAGTCATAAGCTGAAATAATCACTCCAACCCAATGACTTTTGCCTATGATTCAAGGACGAAATATGCTGGGAACATTTTTGAATGGCACTCGCTCTGAGTCATACCTCACATGTGACAGAGCTCATTTTTATCACTTATTTTCAGCATATGGATCTGCCAACCTGTCCTTGAAGCCATAAAGCTGGTCAATGATTACCAAGGTCCATGGTACACACGGACCTGTGATAATTAGGATATGATAGAGCGGGGCTGGAAGGCCCTGAACAAGCCACACACGGTGAGATGAGACTGACGGGAGAGGCAGGAAGGGCACACGTTCTGGAAGGAGGGAAGTGGAAACGGCTGTGTACAGGCTTTACTTTGCCTACCAGAGTTGTGTTTTCTTTTCCATGAAATAGATATTTCATTATGGGAAACAAAAATTGAGGAAAAGCTGATGGACTGAAGAGCATAGCCTATCACTTACTTAAAATCATTGCCTAGTAATCTGGTGGTGGTGTTGTTGTTACATGCCGTCGAGTCGTTTGCAACTCATAGCAACCCTGTGTACAACAGCCCTAAACCCTGCTCTGTCCTAGATCTAATTAAATGCTTTTGATGCTGCCCTGGACTTCCTTTGTTCTTGTTGTTGTTGTGTACTGCCACGTCGCAGTAGACCCATTGCTGACCCTCCAGAGGGTTTTCAGAGACAGTTTAATTGCACAGGAGGAGATTGCCCATCTTTCACCTGCAAAACAGCTGGTGGATTCAAACTGTGTGATTTCAGGATTCCAACCGGATGAATTCAGGTTGGGAGTGCAACTCCTTACCGCTAATCCACTGGAGCTTTGTTGATTGCCTTCGAGTCACGCACGACTCATAATGACTCTATAAACAAAAGACCTGAGGTCTCTACCTAACTACCGTTTCTCCAAGTTCATAGAGTTTCCAGAGGCATGTGGTTTAGGAAGTAGATGTCACTCCTGCTTTCAAACCTGTCTTAAAATTAGAAGCTCCACCAAATTCTGTCCACCATGGGCAGCCACTATGAAACTTTAGGAGACTTTAAAAATTCACACTTCCAACGACAGGCCTGAGAGGAGTTTTTATTGGCAGCAATTCCATCCTTCTCAACTCTGAAGAGCAGACTTCCCTCACTGCTGCTTTCAATTAGACAGTGTTGTTGTGTAGTGGTGAGTCAGAACCAGCCCATAGCTGACCCTCCAGCAGGTTTTCAGAGACAGTAAATCACGCAGGAGAAGGCTGCCCATCTTTCTCCCTTGGAGCAGCTGGTGGATTCGAACCATGTGCCTTTGAGCTGACAGTACAGCTCATTACCGCTAGGCTACCAGATGAGGAACACCCAGTTCCAATTTACAGTTTTGTTGCCAAGTTTGAGCGTGTGTGGTTTTTTTTGTTGTTTTTTTTTTTGCGTGTGTGGTTTTAACACTGAGCACTTGTCTATGTTTTCTGCCTATTACTAGAAAGTATTACTCTTACTACTACTGCCTTTTCTGCCCCCCTGCTAGAAAGTATCACTCTGCTTAGTTTTGCAGAACATTACGGAATTAAGTGTGGAGCTAGGTCTAGAGCGCAAACGGTGAGCAAGACGTGCTTGGTCTCCAGCAAACTGCAGCTTCTCAGGTTTCCTTCACCTTCAGGGGAAGCACCTAAACCTTAGTCCCTTAACAGTCAGAACCGAAAGTTTGCCAAGTTCTTTGGCATCTAGACATTTCTATAGTAATGTGTGTTTCTTCATTCTGTAAACTAGCTCTGTGTTCACCAACTTGAGGAGGAGGAAGTGAGGTACCTGCCTTAAAAGGTTCACCCAGTGCACAACCCTCGTATTTTAGTGTTCTTAGAAATTCCTTGGATTCCTGTTAGAAACAGAGTCTCCAATTCCTACCTACCCACTCGTGCTACCTACCCTCACCCCCAGCCCCAGATTCATTTGGGGGGTGTGGGCCCCAGTAATCTGTATTTTAACAAGCATCTCAGTGATTAGTATGACGCCGGTGATCCTCAACTGTGTCTTAACAAATGACAGCCTTGAATTCTGCCGTCGTAATATGCTGTTGTCCCCGTGTCCATAGTGCTCATAGAATGCTGTTGTACATTTACAGGTAGTCTCAGATGGTAGGTACAGAACCTCACTTCATAGATCAGGTAGGTTAAATCAGTCAGTTCCAAAATGGAGCAAATGGCATTTAAGTGCATTTTTAAAAATGCCCTGTACAGCCACAGACACGTGTATGCGTTCTCATGTGGACCCCCCCCCCCCGTGTGCCGTCCTTCAATCAGATGCTCCGTGTCCTCTTAAGACTAGTCAGACGTCCTAAAGAGCTGGGGAGGACTTGAACCGCTGTCCCCACGGCAGTGCCTCTCAGGCAGCTTGAAGCCTCTAGCATCTCGGGGGAGGAATCCGGACAGTCTGCTCACACAGGGTAGACAGCCTCCAGAAGCCTCCGGAAGGGTCAGCACTTCCGCCTCAATGGCACAGAGTGAGAGAATATCAGAAAATGTGTACTTTCTAGAAGGGCGCTCCGGTGGCCTAGTGACAAGACGCTACACTGCAATCCCGAAGGTACGTGGTTCAAGCCACCAGCTGCTCTGTGGGAGAAGGATAGGTGATGTACCTTGTGAGTAACTGCCTCTGAAAACCTGCTGGAGGGTCAGCTATAGGTTGGTTCTGACTTTACGGTTCATAACAGCTTACTAAAACGTCAGGGGAATGGAATTGTTTTTGTTTTGGGGTTTCCTGTTTGTTTTTTAAGCATTCTTGGGGTGTGTAGGCCACTTAGATTGTGTGTGCGGAGGTTTACCAGCATGCCTTCTGTAGCATTGTGTCCAAGGGTTGTCACTGGCCGCTGTTGGAATTAGATCTCATTTTCAGGTGCAGGGAGTGTTGAGAAGTCAAAGTGACTAATAAATAGAAACTAAGATGACAGCTTCATCACACAAGTGCACAAAAATAAGAGATGGCACTGGAACCTTTTCTAATTACTTCTTACCTGTTATTGTGGTTGCTGCATTTGTCTTCAGTGTTTTCGCTTAATGGTACCTTCAAAAAAGATGAGAAAATTGCTGTATCTTTTTATTAGTACAGAGTTCACACACACAAATGACAGGGTTATGATGTGTGTGTTCTAAGAGTTAAATGGCCTTGCTTAAGAGGTGGTTTTTGAAAGCCAGTTAGGCAGTATTCTCTGGGAAATTGCATGCTTACTGCTGTAAAAAAAAATTCTTTTCAGGTCTGTGACCATAAGTTTTGGACCTGTAATGAATTAATCGTGGGTCCTGCCCATCATTTACAATATGGAGGATATAGACCTGTTAAAAATTAACTATAAGATTCCTTAAATATCAGACAACTGAATCAAGCGATATTGAAAAAGAAAAATACAGTGTGTGTGACCAAGGAAGACTTAACCTGGGAGTTCTTGGTGCGTTCAACCTTGGAAAGCTAATCACTGTCATTTGTCATATCAGCAGAACGCCTTACGTCCTCCTCAGCTTCAGCGAGCAGGGTTGTATCATCTGCATGACGCAGACTGTTGATGAGTCTACCTCCAATCCTGATGCCACACTTCTCCTCATAGAGCCCAGCCTCCGGGATACTGTTCCACATGTAGATGGAAAACATATGGAGATAGGACACATCCTTAATGCACACCTTTCCCAGTTTTGAACCATGCAGGGTTTCTTCACTCTGTTCTGTCGACCTGCCTCCTGATGCAAGTATAGGTTTCGCAAGTGTTCTGGGCATCAAAAAAATGTGATATATTTACATAAAAATCAGTATATATCTGAGTGCTGAAATAGTGGTGAAGGACTTCGAGGACTTAGGAGTGTATTAAAAAATTGGTATGATTTGTAAACTTTCCCTCAAAAGTAATATAATTAGTAAATAGATGTATTTAAAAAACCAAAGACTTAGGGAGCTCTGGTGGCCTAGTGGCAAGAAACTGCACTGCAATCCCAGAGGTGCACTGTTCAAATCCATCAGATGCTCTGCTGGATAAGAAGGGACAGTTTCCTCCTGTACCAGTCAGATCTGATTTGATGGTACACACACACACACACACACACACACACAATAATAATAAAATTTAAAAACCCAAAGACTTAACTAAATGGCCTGGAAGACTTAATACTGTTATCAGATCAATTTTCCCTATTATAGATCCAGAACACTCTCAGTTAAAATTTCACCTCGAATTCTTGTAGAAATTGATTTTAAGTTTTACATGAAAAATAAAAAGACCCAAAGGAATGAGAGCTAACACAACTGTGGACAAATTGAAAGGCTCACCTGCTGACTTGCGGGAGCTCTGGTGACGTGGAAGGAGTGTTGGTGCACCGCCAACCCAACAGTACCGCCTCTTTAGTGGTCCCAATGCCCCGGCGGCTCTGAGGGAGGACATGGGCAGTCTTGACCTGTGTGAAATTCGCAGGAGGGTCAGTTATGATTTGGTTCCAACTGAGCGACCGCCAGTTTGAGTTTTGACCTCATTTCAGTAGTTCTCAAAGCTTTGGTTCTCAGCAGGGTACAGTTTACTCTCATCTGGCCGGCACTGGCACAGGTGGTAATGTTTGGTAATAGTTTGGATTGCTGATACCTGTGGGGAATGAGGAAAGGAGGTTGTGCCTGGCACCCTGTGTGTGGAACCCAGAGATAGTGCTAAACATTCTCCAGTGCACAGGGCGGCCTCACTTAACAAAGAATTCCTTTGCCCACATGCCAATAGTTGAGAGAAATCATGATTATACTGTAAGATAAAGAGATAATCAAGGCAGTGTGTGTGTTGCTACTAGAATACACATCCAGATCAATGAAAGACAATAGAGGACAGAAATCAGAAATAAAACCATATATATAAACCTGTGGTGTGTGTGTTTAAGATTTTTTTAAAAATATAAAAGTTCAAAGGCAATCAATAGAGATAGAACAGTTTTTCATCAAACAGTGCTGGAATAATTAGACGTCCATATGCATAAAAGAAACAACACTTCGCATAATACTTCACACCATATTAAAAAATAACCAAAATTTGTAGACTTAATTGTAAACCATAAACCAAGGAGAAAAAAAATCTTTCTGAATTTAGATTGGATAAATATTTCTTAGATAAAAAAATATAAAGCATAATCTACAAAATAAGAATTGATAAACTAGGGAGCTCTGGTGGCCTAGTGGCAAGAAGCTGTGCCACAATCCCAAAGGCACGCAGTTCGAGGCCACCAGCTGCTCTGTGGGAGAAGGATGGGCATTCTCCTCCTGAGCGATTAACTTGCCTCTGAAAACCCGTTGGAGGGTCAGCGATTGGTCGGTTCCAACTATACGGTACACAACCACAAACCAGGCTTCATCAAGATTAAAAACTTTTACATCAAAATGTGTGTGTGTGTGTGTGTGTGTGTGTGTGTGTGTGTGTGTGTAAAAATACCAAAAAACCACCAACCCTCATTGCTGTCAAGTCAGAACCAACTCTTAGCTGACCCTCCAGCAAGTTTTTGGAGGCTTTAAATCACACAGGAAGAGATCACACCTTTCTCCCTCAGAGGGGATTCAAACTACCCGACAGGTGCAGCCTTTGGCTTTGCTGTGTGATTGTCTACAGACTGCACAACCAGATTGCACTTAACTCTTCAAAAGACATTGTTAAAGAAAATCTACAGACATCTATAGCGTGGAGAAAAATATTTGTAAAAGCGCATAGGATAAGGGAACTTTTATCTAATCCATGTGAAGAACTCTCTAAACCTAATAAATAATATAAATATGAAAAGATTTCAATAAATCCTTAAATACTAAGTGTATAAAGATGTATTCACTAGCGAAACCCCAGTCAGTAAAGGTTGAGTATTGAGTCCCGTTCAGAAATTCTATAAAGAATTTCTGTGGTGATGAATCCAGAAGTTTAAGAAGTTGTCAATGACGTAGTGGATGGATCTTTGTGAGGGTAAGAGGTCGGAGGAGGTCCTTCCCACCCAGATACCTTTTGTCACCAGTAGATGGTAACCCTGTCACCAGAGCTCCCTGGGCATTGTTGTTGTATGCCAGTAAGTTGGAACCAACCCTTAGCTGACTCTCCAGTAGGTTTTCAGAGGCAGTATGAGAGGAGATTGCCCATCCTTCTCCCACAGGGAAGCTAGTGGATTCGAACCTTGTGCTTTTGAGATTGCAGTGCAGCTTCTTACCACTAGGCCCCCAGACTCACGAGGGTAGTATTAGCTTCCTCCAAGTTCAAGGGCTTTCTGCTGGCGGGACCACCAGACTTCAGTGAGCATTTATAGGGAATGAAGAGGAGGTTGGTGAGGCAGGCCTTTTATCAGTAACTTGTGTGAGTTGTTTACTAAGGGTCGAAGTCATGGACTTTGTAACCGTATCAGCATTGTCATTGTTCCTCGGGAAGGATTTTTTTAAAAAATATAACCTTTATAAAAGAGAACTAAGCATGAATTGAGAGATCCTGTGTAAAACACTAAATATCAGAAGGTTGTCCCCACACAAATCATTCAGAGTCTGTGCAAATTCCCATGCAGGTCATTGTGACATAGCCCTATCTCTTTTCTGATAAAATGGCACTTCTGAGTAGAACATGATGAATTGTCTCATGGAAATTAGTGTTTTAATATCGTGAATCTTGAAATTCTCCATCATTATGTTTTTGCTCGCCCCTTACCAGCCACCTGCTCTGGGAGGCACGTGCAGTCCCCACCCTCATCCTCCTAACTGTCTTTTCTGGGCCGTGTCCTTCTGTCTGTGCATGTCTAGGACGTACTGATGGAGCTTCTGGAGCAGTGTGCCGACGGGCTCTGGAAGGCGGAGCGCTACGAGCTGATTGCCGACATCTACAAACTCATCATCCCCATTTACGAGAAGCGGAGGGACTTTGAGGTACCAGAGCGATTTGGTTTTCTCCTGTATAAGAAGACATGGGAGTGACACGTAGTTCCAGGCCCTCCGCAGAGAGAGCTAGCAGCCGCTGTCCCATAATGCACAGGGGATTTCTCTCCATATGTGCTGGAGAGTGTCACCTGACCATCACACACACACGTCACCACGCCTGACACCACAGACGAGGGACACCACCATGACACTCACTTTGGAAAAGTTACCAGGAGCAAAGCTGTGTCCCCACCACCGGTTCATTTCTTCAGCTCTCTTCCAAGCTCCATGTGCCTGGGAAAACAGTACCCCTCCTTGCTTCCTGGACTAGTGAGGGCATCCAGCACACCTTTTACAGTGTCAGATGGAGTCATGGTAAAAGCAAAGTCTGAAAAGGTCGCCAAGGGACTTTTCCATCTCAGATATTTCATGTTGATTTGAAAGCAGAATGTTTGCCAGGATGGGACTGGACCTTTGAATAACAACTAATACAACCCAAAAATATCCTGGCATCTTGCATACTAGCACACAGTGCAGCAGTATTGACAATAACCAGTAGATAGACACTGCTTGAATGTTGTCCATCAGTTATTGTGGAGGTGGTGGTGGTGGTTGTGTACCATCAAGTCAGAACCTCCCTTCTGTGGGTTTTCCGAGGCAGTTAATCACCGGGGAGGAGATTGCCCATCCTTCTCCCACACTGCATGTTCTCAGACCACCTGCCCCCAGGATTGCAGTGTAGCTTCTTGCCACTAGGCCACCAGAGCTCCCTATCAATAGATGAATGGATAAAATCCATCAACAGGTGAACGGATAACTCAGCATATGCATGCAATGGAAGGAAGAGAAATGAGGCGCAGTGTTACCATATGACATTGGGTAGCATGGGTAAACCATGAAAACGTGCTGAATGAAATAAAGTCAGTGGCAAAGGGGCAAATGTGCATGCGTCCACTTCTACAAAATACCTAGAACAGGGATGTGTATGGAGATCAAGGTTTATTGGTTTCCCAGGGCAAGGAAAGAGGGGACTCGAGTTCTGCTAAGGGTGGTGGCAAATTCTGAATTCAGATAGAGATTGAACAATATGATCATAATTCATACCACTAAGGTTCTCTTCTGTTGCTCTTAGGAACTCCGTGACTTATAATCAACTCAATGGCCCTTAGCAAATGTAAAGAGTGTTGGAATTACAAGTGTTTTGTTGCATCCACAACAGATTAGATATGTAAAAAAAATGTTGAAATGTCCTGTATTTTGTTTTTACTTTCTCTCTAAATTTTTTTTAAATCGCTATAAACTATGCAGTGCAAAAAATATTCTTAATGATACACTCAAGTCTAAGGCGTTTTTACCTGCCTTTTCACCTGCCTTGTTATTTTTTAAGTTGATTGTACATGTTTGCAAGTGGGAAGACATGGGTGTTGCTCTCATTTCCAGAGGCTGGCCCACCTGTACGACACGCTGCACCGGGCCTACAGCAAGGTGACCGAGGTCATGCACTCCGGCCGCAGGCTGCTGGGCACCTACTTCCGAGTGGCCTTCTTTGGACAGGTGAGCCAGCCCACTCCTTGCTGGTGGTTGTCATATGACATTTCCCCCTCCCCCTTTTTTTACTTTATAAAGTTAGAGTTTGTCATTTTTTTTTTCACTTCTATAAATGCTAATTTGATGAACTTGTCTTACCTAGTATGATTCCCTCCTCCCTCAGTAAACTTTCTGCTTTTTCTTCCTTCCTGTCTTGTCTTTATTACTTTCTTAAGGCAGCGGTAAGTTCTCCCTGTGTAATTCGTTCCTAGCTGCATCTGTCTCATCATTTCAAATGCCAAAACCAAAAATTAACATTTTATTCCATTTTCAGAAATAAATCACCCATTTCCTTATTCATCTGTACTGCATGTTTAAAACCCAAATTAAGACTTTCTGGTTACCCTTGTGCCTGTACTCTTTTGTGTATAATACCACCACAAGTTTATCTATCATTGTAATAGTCCAGAAACTTTCTATAGAAGGGTTTGTTTAAACTTAACTTAAAATTTTAACCTTCAGCTCTCTAACATTAAGTAGTATAAATTATCATCCTTTCGTCTCGGGTGTGTGGTTTTGAGCCTTATATAACATCAATTTATTCTGTTATTGTCTTTTATAACTCTATAGCAATACCAGTTTACAGACAGTGAAACAGATGTGGAGGTAATTATAGTAAAAGCTTTCAAAAGCAAGTAACGTAGTGAAATGACTGCATCTAAACTCCTAGTTTGATGTGGGTGTTTTTGTCTCATATTAGCTTGCCTTTTTTTTTTTTTTTAATCCACTCTGGTTTTTTGCACCATTTTCTCTCTTATTTTAGATGGGAATTTTTAAAACATTTATTTCAAATATTAACCTTGATCTGGATTTTTTTTTCTCAACCTTTTTCACTTCCCATGCAATGCTAAGCCTTGTTGTACTCAAGTTAAGAGCAATGCTAAACCAGATGTTGACTGGTGATAATGAAAATATGTTCTGATTGTATAATAGCCCTTCAGTCCTCTTAGGACTCAAGCAAAATGATGTTCTTGTAACATCACACAACCTCTGCTCACCGTTCTCCAGGCCCGAATGCTTCAGTGTGTGCCTTTACGTTCCTTGGATAAGCAGTCAGAGGGGTGATCTGGAAATTCCAGAGACCTGTCTCCAGCATCTCCCTCAATATCTGCTCAATATTTTTTTCGTTGCTGGGAATGTGAAACAGGCTGAGTCTCGTCATTAGACCTGTCCAAGAGAACACAACCTTGAACCCCAAGTCTCTCCATTTCACCCAGCACATAATGACGATGTTGTTGAATAAGTTTGACGTTTGTGTTCTTTCTTAATCTTTGTACTCAACCTTCACATTGTTATCATTTTCCTTCCCATCAGGAAAGCCTGTTTATGTAGGATTTCATTGTAGAGTCATTTTTTTGTTTAACTCCTAAAACCTAAGAGCCCTTGCTGGGTAGTTAGATTTGGACTTATGTTCAAGGATACCTCTAATGGTGCTTCGTGTCACAGGGATTCTTTGAAGATGAAGACGGAAAGGAGTACATTTACAAAGAGCCCAAACTCACACCGCTGTCAGAAATTTCTCAAAGGCTCCTTAAGCTTTACTCGGATAAATTCGGTTCTGAAAATGTGAAAATGATACAGGATTCGGGCAAGGTATGTTTTGATAAATAAGTCCCATAGCGTTGTCGTTTTTTATTGATTTTTAACCTTTTTTTTAAAATTTCCTTTGATGTTTTTCATTTATCACATGTCCCAGGGTAAAAATGAAGTCTGGCTTTTCAATGGCAACGTGATTTTCACCCTCCTCTTTCTTAGTTTCTTTGTTTTTCAAAACCTCTTTCCTTAAGTGTGACTGTGTGTCAGTCTGTGTCATTGTGATCGTTCTCTTTTGGGCTGATCCTCAGTGTTTCCAAACATGATGTCCTTCTCCAAGGACTGGCCCCTTCTGTTAACTCGCCCAAGTATGTGAGAGGACTTTCAGCATCCTGGATTTAAGCCTAACGAGGAAGCATATTTCAACAAACAGACGCGGCCCTGGATGTGCTCACTAAGTTGTGCCAAGGAATCTGGAGGACAGCCAGCTGGCCGACTGACGGGAAAAGATTGATATTTGTTCCCATTCCAAAGAAAGGTGACCCAACAGAGTTCGGAAATTATCGAACAATATCATTACTATCACATGCAAGTAAGATTCTGCTGAAAATTATCCAAAAACGTTTGGAACAATATGTCAGCAGAGAACTGCCAGATGTGCAGGCTGGATTTAGAAGAGGTCATGGTATTAGGGATATTATAGCTAATGTTAGATGGATCTTGGCAGAAAGCAGAAAATACCAGAAGAATGTCTGTCTGTGCTTCATTGACTATGCAGAGTTTTTTGACTGTGTGGATCACAACAAGCTATGGCTGACTCTGAGAAGAATGGGAATCCCAGAACATTTGATTGTGCTAATGTGGAAACCTATACTTGGACCAAGAGGCAGTTGTCAGAACAGAGCAAGGAGACACTACATGGTTCAAGATCAAGAAGGGGGTCCGTCAGGGATGTATTCTGTCTCCATACCTTTTCAAGCTGTATGCTGAGCAGATCATCCGAGACTCTGGGCTGTACGAGGAGGAATGTGGCATCAGGATTGGTGGAAAAGTCATCAACAACCTATGAACAGTGCTCAGGCATTCCATTCATAGGGTCACTATGTGTCATCTGTGACTTGACGGCACCTAACAACAACAACAACAACAAAAGTACACTGGAGGGTCAGCTGGGAGTCTGTTGGGATTCAATAGCACGTAATAATAACAAGGAAGTTTCTGATGTCCCTGTCCCTGTCCTCTATCTTTACAGGATCCTGTTCACAATAAAAGAATACATCCTGAGCCACAAATCCCTAATTTCAAACTCAGCCCGATCCTCACTGCCTCCTAAGAAGCCGCCTTAGGATCCCCCAGTACTCTTCTACTGACCCCCCAGCCCAGGGCAGTTGAAGCCGCTGCCCTTTGTGTCAGCAGACTTGAGTTCACATTTAAATCTGTTCTCTCCCTATTTGCAGTCGCATTTGAATAAAGCCATCCTCACCTGTTTGATGCTTCTCCTTGGCCGCTCCCTTACTGTTTTTCACACTGCCTGGCACAGTGTATGCCTGGTTGTTGGATGAATTGACAGAAGAACAGGTGGATGGGCAGCTGGAAATACCAAGGAATGAACTGTTGTTGTTGCTGTGTGTTGTGTGACTCAGTGGGTCAATGGGAACCCTCCAGTGGGTTTTTAGAGGCTGTAAATCTCACGGGAGAAGACTGCCCATCCTCCTTTCGGGTTAATTCTTTACTCTGATATTAACAGTGACACAAAGAAAAAGGAATAAGCATATTTTGTTGCTCTGCCTTTAATTGGAAAACTCAACACAACATTCTTAGGACCTGCTTGCTTTGTAGACCAAAGTGCTCAGGGCCAATTTTTCCCTTCAGTTCTGAAGCTGAAGTGCTTGTCTCGCTACATCATGGTTTCAGTGTTTCCTTGAAGCCTTTACACATCCTGCTTCCCTTTTTGTTATGTGATTCTTGAAACAGCAGCTAAAAAATAAGCCAGACCTTTTTGGCAAGCTCTGGTGGCCTTGTGGCAAGAAGCTGCACTGCAATCCCAGAGGTGCATGGTTCAAATCTACCAGATGCTCTGCTGGAGAAGGAGGGACAATCTCCTATACCAGTCAGATCTGATTTGATGATACACACACACAAAATAATAAAATAAAATAACATTGTTTTAAAAATAAGCCAATCCTTTTCTTTCTCCCGAGTACAGGCCTGCCTTTCCTTCTACTCATTAGGTACATATGACTTTGAAAATGAGGACTGAGGAAGTACCATTGAAAGACAGACACGAGTGCTTTACTTAATTGGGCTCACATTGTTTCTGCTAAAGAACTTGAAGATCTCTTAGAATGGTTAGAATGCTGCTGGGTGCAGTAGCTGAAAAGCTTCAGTGCTGACAGATGGACTGTTCGTTCAAACTCATCAGCTGTTCTAGAGGAGTTGGCGCCCACGAAGATGTACACTGTTGGAACCCCCGTGAGCAGCTCTGCTCTGCCCTGTAGGGTCTCCAGGGGTCAGAGTCAATGTGATGGCAGAGGGGTGGATTTTTTTAAATTTATAATAGTTAACTATCTTGCTTTTAAAAGAACTGCCTTGCTTTTAAAAAAAACTATCTTGCTTTTGAAAGAGAGAAATAATATCTTCTCTCATGGGACACCAGGATTTATGCTTTCACTTATTCTTAATGTATTTAAATTGCTTCTGCTAAAAAAAAAATGGAAATGATCACTTCATGATTCATTTACTATCCGAGAGTTTAAGATTCCTGGACCTTTCATTTTCCATTTTCTTCACCAAAATCTCTGCGTAGAGACTATTGATACATAACAGTTGTTGTTGTTGTTGTGTTCTATACCGTTGAGTTGGAACCAACTCAATAGCTGACCCTGCAGTGGGTTTTCAAAGGCAGTTAATCACCTGAGAGGAGATTTCCCATTCTTCTCTTCATGGATTCGAACCATGTGCCTTCAGGATTGCAGTGCAGCTGTTTGCCTCTGTATGCCACTGGTCTTCAAAATTCTCTCCACAGCCATTTCTTTCAAATCCCTTTTTATTACTTTCAAAGGTTAAGTACAAAATAGTTTATCCCTCTAACAACTTAGGTTTTGTTTTTGCATGAAAAATATGTTTCATTTCCTATCATGACATACTGTTTAAAAAGCATTTCTGTGTTGACTTAATCAGGGACTCCATTCATACAGTACTTAGTCTACAGCTGTATGAAATAGAGTTGGGGGATCTGCTGTTCAATGATTAATTTTAAAAATCTACATAATGACTAAGAATGATAGAAGAAGAATTGATGCCTTTGAGTTGTGGTGCTGGAGAAGAGTCTTGAACATACCATGGACTGCCAAGAAAACAAATAGTTCTCTCTTGGGGAGGGTGAAACCAAATGTCTCCTTGGAGGCTAGGATTTTGAAGCTTCATCTCACATACTTTGGGCATATGGCCAGGAGGGACCAATCATTGGAGAAGGGCATCATGCTCGGAAGGGTGGAGGGACAGCGCTGGAAAGGAAGGTCCCAGATGAGATGGATTGAGTAACTGGGGCAGTGGGGTAGGTGTGTCAGAGTTAGTGAGACTGGCTCAGGACAGGGCACACTTCAGAGCTGCTATACACAGTGTCGCTATGAGTCACAGGCAACTGGAAGGCACATAACAACATCTTACTGAAATGTGTAAAGATGCAGTTTAGCAAATAGAAATTCAGAAACATGAAAACGAGCACATTTTCTTCAAAAGAATCATGTCCCTTAAAAACAACAACAATCTAGTGAGGAATATGATCCTGGTGGTGCAGTCTGTGGTGTGTTGTGGTTGTGGTGCTAAAGAGTAGACTGTACGTCCTCCCTCCCGCTGTTCGAGTCCAGCCTCCAGCTGTTCAAGTCCATCAGTGGCTCCACGGGAGCAGGATGGACAGTTCTCTGTTAAGATTTACGGCCTCCGAAACCCAGTCGGGAATCAGAGTCAGTTCCACGACAGTGAGCTGAGTTGTTTGATAGAGACATGGCAGAATGATCAGTGATTAGATTTTGGCTTAAAACACAAAATGCTGTCAGTGACACTTGGGGACAGTTGAGAAAACTTCACATAGGCTGAGCTTTAGGTGATATTGGTAAATTATTCTTTTGTCAGGTCACTGACTCTGTGGTTACGTAGAGAATATCTTTGTTTTTAGGAGATGCCAGGTAAAATGCCAAGATGTGTGAGCCACCTTGAAATAGCTTACATATACATACACCCATAAATATGCACACATATGGATGAGTATGTAAACAAAACCAGGAAATTGTTGACAAAAGTGGCAGGTATATGGATGTTCACGCTACTGGTTTCTCCACTTTTAATTTTTTAAAAAACTTCTATTAGGATAAAAGTTGAAAAGCAGAGTTGATGTGGTTTGAAGGAGTCTATTCATTAGCACTGGTCTTCAATTTTGTTTATTCATTTGAAGGTCAACCCTAAGGACCTGGACTCCAAGTACGCCTATATCCAGGTGACTCATGTCATCCCGTTTTTTGATGAAAAAGAGTTGCAAGAGAGGAAGACCGACTTTGAGAGATCGCACAACATCCGGCGCTTCATGTTTGAGATGCCCTTCACTCAGGCGGGGAAGCGGCAAGGTGGCGTGGAGGAGCAGTGCAAGCGGCGCACGGTCCTCACAGGTACGCTGGTCCTCACAGGTGTGCAGGGAGATCCTCACAGGTA